ATACTGCAGAGAAAATAAGGCATTGCATTTCTAGCCAGCATAGCCACAGGATTATGGGAACTGTGGTCTATGACACCCAAATGACATTACTTTGGGTAAGGCTGGATTAAATTATAAAAGAGCAGATGAGAGGAAGTAGAAGCAAGAACCACTTTCCACGTCTCTGACAAAATAATTGGGGGGGGAGTTGACTCGCCTTTTAATTTCAACTCATGCCAATTCCTCTTAACTTCCCATTCAATCCAAAGAGTTCTATGATGCAACGTGTGTGTGTGAGTGTGTGTGTGTGTGTGTGTGTGTGAGAGAGAGAGAGAGAGATCCCCTTTTTGTAAGTTTGCTTACTCTGAAATGCTTTCCTTTCCCCACACGTTTGCTTCCCTGCTGGCTCAATCTCTCTCTCTCTCTCCATCACACACAAAAACTCTCTCTGCTTTCTCCCACTTCTTGCCCTTTTTCTCCAGCTGCACCTGAACGGAGTGGGAGGAGGTTAAAAAAAAAGAGAAGGGGGAGAAAGGGGGAAGCTCCCCTTTTTTGTAACACCTCGGCTTCCTCCTCTTCCCCTCCTCCCTCCCCCCCTCTCTCTCTCTCTCACACACACACACACACACACACACACAGAAAGAAACCCTTCCTGCTTTCTCCTCCTTCTCACCCTTTATCTCCAGCTGCCACATGTTGCCGGCCACCAGCAGTTCCAGGCTGCGGCTCTGCATGACTGCTGCATTCCCCTCTCCGGCCTTACAATGTGGCGGAGAGGGCGAATGGGAGCCGGCTGATGCTCGGCTTGTGTCACTGCACACTCCCATCTCTGCGCTTTTCATCCCACAGGCCGGGCGTGCCCTGGGGCGCCAGGCTCCAGAACACCAAGCCCAAGCAAGGAAAGATGTGGTGCAGCAAACCAGAGCCGGAAGAGGAGAGGCCTGGCAAAGCGGGGAATGGAGGCCGTGATGGGTGAGGCTGGGAGGGGTGAGGCGAGGCGGGCTTCAGCAGATGTCTGGCAGGGGGAGGGAAGCAGCTGATCTACCACCATGCTAGCGCCGCCGCATTGCTTCACCCCATGCACAGGCCCCGCCCCACTCCTTGCATGGAGCCCCCTGCTCTTGCCGTTCCACTCCACCCCCTCGCGGCACCTTCTTTCCAGCTCCAACGCGTCACTTCCTCCGCCGCTATGTTGGACTAAAAATAAAGTTCAATCAATCAATTCCAACTTTACGAGATCTTTTTTTTCCCCTGAGAAGTTGAAATTGATTGATTAAACTTTTTTTTTTTTTTTTGCACACGGCGGCAGAGGCCTAAAGCGAAAACATTTTATAAAACCAGCTTAAAAAGCCACTTGCCCAGGGAGATTTTGGTGCAGGTTGCTCATGGATGGGGCTGAAGGCCTAGGACTGGGGCGACGATGCGCATGCCCACAGAGAGGGCTCTGCGTGCCGCCTGTGGCACGTGTGCCATAGATTCGGCATCACGGGACTAGTGGTAGGAAACCCTGGATTTTAGTGCTGCCTTAGTATGGAAACCAAATGGGAGGCTTTGAGACATTCATTCTCTCTTAGCCCTCTAGGAAGAGGGCAATGTAAACTACTTTTGAAAACATTGTCAAAAAATTGCATGGACTTTTCCATATAGTCACCAGGAATCAAGACTGACAAAGACGCACACATGGTGCAAGATCATTGTTATTTTTTAAAAGAAGAATATGGTTTCAGTTAGGTTTAGCCAACCATATATATTATACACAATTGTGTGGTGGCATCTGGTGCTGAGTTAGGGAGTGAAACTGCTGACTAACCTTGAATCACTTGTGGAGAGGAAGCGGCTAAAGGGAGATTCTCCTTAAAACTTGTTTCAGTATTTATCTAGTAGCTATGTACTGTCTGCTTTAGTCTGGTGAGATTCTTGTGAGCAATAATAAACATTCCAATCTGATCAGCTCATTGTGTTTTTTCTGGTTCCTTGTGCCTGGCAAATTGTTTGCAATAAATAGGATTTCTAATGGCTAGTGTTCACAACATCTGGAGTAGCAGAGTTTTAATTATGAAATCTTATATGCTAAGGTTAGGTTTAGGATTACTATTTGGTTACTAAAATAAATCATGATTTATTTTTGCTATAGCCTGCTAACATGCTGTCTGTTTGACAAAATGTGATAATAGAAGAGACAGACAAGAAAGGAAGTGGCAGTGGACTTGAAAGTTACAGATGTAAGATTTATGGAAACGAAGGAATATGTATCACACAGAAATACGTTTCTTGCTTGAAGCATTCTGATTAAATGACACCTTGGATACAGAGACCCACATCAATTCTACCAGCGTTTCAAGATTCAAATTCTGAGGCTGCCAGTTAGGAAATTTCTCAGTGAGAGGCAGGAGACCAAGAGTTCCAACAGAGAAACTAGGATAAAGTTACAGTGGTACTGTAGACTGCTGTGAATCAGAGTGGTTCTAATTAACGAACAGGTGGGCCAGGATAGATCTAGCTAATGTAATTCTTGTAATATAAATCTTAAAGTATAGAATCTGTTCAGAATACAATAGGCTTTAAATATAATTTTTTAAGATAAAATAAGCTGCAGTTCAACATCACAGAATTGGCACAACTGATGTTAGTACTAAATTTAAATTGATGCCCAGAAATGTACGGATAGTGGTTTTGATAAAATTAATCATCTGTATACATCTCTATAAAAGGCAATACTATGTATTGATTATCCAACAAGAATTATTAACAAACATTGTCTAAATAAAGATACTAAGTATTCAGTATGAGAAAATGAAAAACTGGTCTCATAGTTCCTGCAGTTTATAAAAAGTAAGGGGACATTGAACCTAATCTTAACTAATTTCTGAGCTTCTCAGTTCATAAAATCACTAATAATAGAATGTATAAAATGTATAATTAGTAACTTAAGGACTGAATTTGTTCTGTTTGATTTTGAGAAATCATGACCCATGTTATCCTAATTTAAATCTTGAGATGCACAAAGACAAAAAAAACCCTCAATACTTACCTATTTAAACTTTGTTTCTATTACTGAGCTCTCTGCAGCTTCTGAATGCTTTTTGAAGGCAGTTCCATGCAGAGTGTGTTACATTAGTCTGAGTGGGAGGTGACCAAGTCACTGTGAACTTGTTAGGAATAAGGCCTTCGGATCCAGAAAATGAGTACAATTGGTACACAAGGAAAATGTGTGCAAAGACTTCCCTAGCCATGACTGCCATCAGTTCTTTGAACAAGAGTTATAAATCCAGGAAATAATTCCAAATCATTCACCAACTTGGGAAGTAGAGCCTCACCCAGAATGTAAGATGAAATGTCTCTGAAATGGGGAGAGGGTGAGCTGAAGCCTATTCTCCCTCTCCCAAACCCAGAGCTTCCAGATTCATCCCCCTTTCTTGAAGAAAGAACCTTAATGGCATCACTTGGTCAGTCTAGGACAGTGATGGCGAACCTTTTAGAGACCGAGTGCCCAAAAACCGGCCCCTGCTTCGCCCCCTGCTCCTGCCCGCTCCGCCCCAGCTCCGCCCCCACCCGCAGGGCCATCCACCGCCTCTACGGCCTGTCGCAGATCACCCAGGCGGCCCAGCAGTGCTATGGCAGCCATACCTTCCACCTGTGCTCCGCAGCATCAATTGTGTGCGACAGGGCACAAGGGCGGAGTCATGTCTCTGCTGCCCGGCTGCCATGTCCTTGGCTGCACTGCTCCGCGCGGGCCATGCTTGAGGGCAACTCTCCTCCGGGGGGGCTGCTGGTGAGGAGGGGGCTGTGGGGGGAGGTGGGGCTGGGGTGATGGTGCGCGTGCCCACAGAGAGGGCTCTGAGTGCCGCCTCTGGTACCCTTGCCATAGGTTCACCACCACTGGTCTAGGACAGAGTTGTACAGCTGGATATCATTAGCATATTGCTGATACTTTACACCCATGCTGAATAACCTCACTCAGTGACTGCATGTAGATATTAAAGAGGAGAAGTAGAAAGGGGCCTTAGATTCAGTCTTTCCCCCTTCCTCAATACTGACAAATTGGCCTTGAAAAAGAGGAAAACCACTGCAGTATTGTGCCTTCTACACCTAATCCCCTAAACAAATCCAGAAGGTTAGCACTATTGAAAGCCTTGAGAAGGAAGGCCAGAATGGTTGTACTAACTAACACACACACACACACACACACACACTCTTATCAAAAGTCATCCACAAGTGCAATCAATGCTGTTTCACTGCTGTACCAGGTCTGGATTCAGGCTTGAATCTGTCCAGATACCGTATATGCTGGCGTACAAGGCGACCCGGCGTATAAGACGACCCCCGTCTTTGTCGCCGAGCCGCATTCCTAGAACGTCGTCTTATACGCCGGAAACTACCAGTATTTCCGGCATATAAGATGACTCGGCGTATAAGACGACCCCTGTCTTTGGCACCGATTTTAGCGCTTGCGGAAGTCGCCTTATACGCCGGCATATACGGTAATTAATTTCTTCCAGGGCCTCTGGAACTGTAACCCAACCTTAACAATTTGCACAAGAAAGTTGAAAATAACCAATAATTAGGCTGTAAAATTGCCATTTTTTATATACTTACCACATGAATTAGTTAATTCTGTAAGTTATATTAAGTTTCACCAGTAACTTGCTTTGCAATTTATAATTAGATCTGGTCTGTCTTTAGTCAGGTTGAAAATAATGACAAACAGTGGATCATTTGCTTTTATGTAGCAGAATTGCATCCTGACAATATTATTGTTCACTAACTCATGTTGGGTAGTTTCAGAAAACATTTATTCACTATGTTGGAAAAACTAATTCCTATTAAAATCCACAAGTCTGCCTTCTCCGGTTTATTTATTTCAAATAAATAATTAGAAATTATTCTAAATTAGATTTCTTGGGCTTTTATGTTAAAAAGTGCTCTTCTGTGTTTGGATTTCTGTTCATTATGAAGTAAAACTGAAATTATATTGTAGTTTGAAGATCAGCATATTTGGTTTTGTTTTGTTTGTCTCTCAGGCATATTGCAGCATCCAGATGGCACTGTCCTCAAACAATTGCAGCCACCTCCTCGAGGACCCAGAGAACTAGACTTCTACAATAAGGTAAAATAATTCATTTTCTAAAACAACTGGAAGCAATAACATTTTTTTGTAGAATTGAACAACCCATTTTGTGTACTATCCTTGTGAACATGTCTTGCATTTTACTTTTCCATTATTCTAAATTGTATAATGGTTCTGAAAGCTTTAAATTTTTGGCCTAGTGCATTTAACTGTTGTATGTCTCCATTCCTGATGTAATCACATTTTCCAACGCTGATCTGAATACCATCTTGACTTGGGAATTTATTTGCCATCTTGGGATAACAAAGGGTGTGTCGTTAAAAGTATTGCTGTTTTAAAACAATGTCTTGAATTTTTTCTGTATTACTTTTGTTGTTTAGAGATTATGGCATTATTTTTTTACCACTCTTCCTTCTGAGAGAACCCAGAATATAGCTCACAATAATTCAAGAATGAACCATAGAACTATTCATAAAGGCAATAATAATTAAATCAAAACTAATTTAATAATAATAATAATAGTAATGTTGGAAGGGACCTTGGAGGTCATTTAGTCCAACCCCCTGCTCAGGCAGGAAACCCTATATCATTTTGGACAAATGTCTGTCCAGTCTCTTCTTAAAAACTTCCAGTGTTGGAGCATTCACTGCTTCTGGAGGCAGGTTGTTCCACTGGTTAATTGTTCTAACTGTTAGGAAGTTTCTCCTTAGTTCTAGGTTGCTTCTCTCCTTGGTTAGTTTCCATCCATTGCTTCTTGTCCTGCCTTCAGGTGCTTTGGAGAATAGCTTGACTCCCTCTTCTTTGTGGCAGTCCCTGAGATATTGGAACACTGCTATCATGTCCCCCCTCGTCCTTCTCTTCATTAAACTAGACATATCCAATTCCAGCAGCCATTCCTTATATGCTCCAGTCCCCTAATCATCTTTGTGTCTCTTCTCTGTACTCTTTCTAGAGTTTCAACATCTTTTTTACATCGCAGTGACCAAAACTGGATGCACTATTCCAAGTATGGCCTTACCAAGGCATTATAAAGTGGTATTAACACTTCATGTGATCTTGATTCTATCCCTCTGTTAATGCAGCCTAGCATTGTGTTGGCCTTTTTGACAGCTGCAGCACACTGCTGGCTCATATTTAGGTGATTGTCCACTAGGACTCCGAGGTCCTCTCACAGTTACTACTATTGAGCAAGGTACCCCCTATACTATACCTGTGCATTTGGTTTTTCTTGCCTAAATGTAGAACCTTGCTTTTTTCACCATTAAATTTCATTTTGTTAGATAGTGCCCAGTGTTCAAGTCTGTGCAGATCCTTCTGTATCTTAAGCCTGTCTTCTGGAGTATTGGCTATTCCTGCCAGCTTGGTGTCGTCTGCAAATTTGATGAGTTCCCCATCTATCCCCTCGTCCAAATCGTTGATGAAGATGTTGAAGAGCACTGGGCCCAGAACAGAGCCCTGGGGCACCCCACTACACACTTCCCTCCATGTAGATGCGGTTCCATTGAGGACCACTCGCTGAGTACGGCTGGTCAGTCAGCTACAGATCCATCTGCTGGTGATGCTGTCTACCCCACATTTTTCTATAGTATAACTATATAATTAATATAGTAACAAATTATTTATCATCAATAAAATTGTTCTTAGTCTACTGCTTCTGTTTAGAAAGCATATGTGGGAAGTCAGAGCCCCCCAGAGAAGGAAATATTAAAAAGGCAGAAAAATATATTTTTTTCCTCAAAAGTATTTTTAAAAGCAGAAACCAAACCTGGCCCCAAATCTCTCTGTCCCCAAGCAGTAGCCAGCCCTATACGAATGCAAATGTAAAACCATCAGAAAGTTGGAGCCAGAGAACTCAAGAAGACAAAGAGACTTAAAATCTGCATACCTCACGCAAACTTGGGACATAATAGGACTAAACCACAGATATTAAGGCCTAGAAAAGCACTCAGACTCAGTTCAAAGTTCATGCCACAGGAACAGGAAACTATTCCAAACAAAAGGCTAGAGAGGGTATAAAAACCTACTGCCCATGTGCTCAGCCCTTCTCTCCTCTGGTCTTTCCTGCAAGAACCATCTTTCTGCTTCTTCAATAAACTGTAACCATCTTCCCAAAGCAGTCGCCATGTTGCTTATTTATTCCTGGCTTGGATGAACCAGGATGAAGACTTTAGTTCCAACACATAGATAACCCTTCTTTATTTAGACAAGTATTTGTAAAGGCTTAACAAGACTTTATTTTAATTACACATATAAACTATAGTTATAGTTTGTAGTTATGTCAGAGTTGAACCAATATGTGACATAAAAATAATCAAATTTAGATGTTGAAAACTATTTACAGAATCTGTTATATATCTGTTAGATATTCCCTATACCAGAGAGTGTTTAGAATGGAAACCTACATACTGGAAAGAAAAAAATTATCAATGATATGAATCATTAATCACATTTTAAAAAATTAAACATTGTCAGAAGTATTCATGGCTGTGTCATATGTTTACATAGCAGTTATTCACCATGATTTATAATGTTCATATCCTTTTATAATAACATTTTAAAAAGGTATGTTTAGACATTTGAATGTAAGGTAAAGGTGATACTGTAGTAGAGGCTAGTTTAATTTTAGTTAAACATTCATGTTCACCTATTATCCCAAACTCATAAAATCAGAAAGTCTATAAGCAACTGTGCTTGAAGTTGTTCGACCCCGTCTTCCACCCCTAACCAATATTTAAAACATGAATACTTTTTTTTTTTAGAAAAAGGAATGTAAAATCCTTGCTGAGTTGGAGAGAGTACATAATGTGTCTTCCACTGGAATTATCTAGAATAACAATAGTATGAACTTAGAAAGAACCCCTTAAAACCTTGAATGGGAGAGCTTGAACCCCAAGTCCTGTCTAATGTAAGGACCCACCCCACTTTGCATCTTAAGAAGACAGAACTCTTGGAATAATTCTTCCAACAGGAATCCTTTATTAAGAGAAAATGGTTGCAGGCATGCTAGACAGGACTTGGGGTTCAAGCTCTCCCATTCAAGGTTTTAAGGGGTTCCCCAGTAGTCCCACCCAATCAACCCCCCTTCCAGTGATAGTTTCAAGTATCACAATTCCACCCCTTTCTTCTTTCTTCCGTCTGGATGAGACTTCAGATAACTACATGAAAGGCAAATACTCTCCTTTGGTATGCTAACACTTCGAGGTTACAATAAACACACATTCAACATTCAGCCCTTTGAAGTGTACTGAAGGAAGTGAGGGCCATAAAGCCCCTTTGTTCTCCCCCTTCTCTCCCTCTTATGGCAGAATCCAGAGAAGGCAGAATTGGGAGTTTCTATATTTGATAATTAAAGATGAAATATAATTGGATTCTGACAAACAGTTAATTACTGTAGAAGTTTTTGAACAGCTTGCTCTGAAACATTCAGTTCCTTTTTTAAACCAGTTCATAATTCAATTCCCTTTTCAAACCAAAATCAGTCTGCAGCTGACCCATTTAGGATGATTTTTGTGCATCAAAGTTTGTTTTCTAGACATGCTGATTAGAATCTGCAATTTCTGTAGTAAAATAATATGATTTTCAATGTACTTCTGCAGATTAAGAGTTTGGAGAAGAAATGATTTTGAAATGAATAAAATAATTTATGTTATAAGTAGTCTAAAACTTCAAGCTATCAGGGTTCTAAAATTAACTTGCTAACAAGCTTAATCTCTTTCCTTATTTATATAAGAGTAATATAAGCCAATCTATATTCTGTCTGCTTTTTTGTCATCTGATTAGTTCCATTTTCTATCAAAAGAACTGAATAGTTTTGTTCAATATTTTTCAGATAGCTTTCCGAGGGATATATGGTTATTGTAATAGAATTTATTTTTTAGGTGTTTATACAAATAAAAATGTTTAAAGATTTGACTAAACATCTTCCTCATACACAATTTTGTCACAATTTAATACTTAGTGGGTTCCTATACTTTATTTGTCTTTATTGCCAGCCAGTTGTATGGAGCCTAAAAAGCTATTTAAACTATTTTGGTTAGTTATATTTCAGAAGTCCTTCAGGGAATGGTTCTCAACCTGTGGTCTGTGGACCCCTGGGAGGCCACAATGTCATCACAGGGTGTCCAAGAGTGCTTGAAGAAATGTTATGATTTAAATCTTAAGTCTTGGGTGTGCATAGCCAATTGGCCATGGTCTTTGGCCACAAAACATATTTAAAGGGGATCTGTGATGAAGAAAAGCTTGAGAATCAGAATCTTAGGAAGTTGGATGCCTAGACTGTGACAAAAACTGATTTTTTAAAATAATAAAATATAAAATCTGGATTTTTGATAGGGATAGATATGTTAGCAACTCATTGATTATCTATATCTATATTGGTCATACTGGAGGTAACTCACATTTTTACTCCTATAAATTTGGTATTTATATAAAGTAAGGTTCAAATTTCCAAAGTTGCTATCATAGCAGAAAAGTAGAGAAACTATTATAGGATCCAATGTATTTTACTAACATTTATTTTATTTCAGGTATTTGCTGATGGATGTGAAGACTCTGTGTTTCTTGAACTACAAAAATATTTGCCAAAATATTATGGAACCTGGTCATTGCCTACTGCACCTAATGGTACTATTGCTATATTCAGTCTGCTAGACATGAATTTGATGGAAATTACTGTGGAGGGTCTTCTTAAATTCTATCATATAGAACAGTGGTTCTCAACCTGTGGGTCGGGACCCCATTTGGGGTCAAACGACCATTTCACGGGGGTCGCCAAACAACGCAGTCCGCCATTTTTTCCCCCTTTTCCTTAGCTGTGCTACTCCCTTTTATTCTATTGGCTTTTGAAAGCCAATAGAATAGACTCTCTTGAATAGAGTCTAATTCTATTGGCTTTCAAAAGCCAATAGGAATTGTCCAGGCTGTCTCTGCCCTGCTGAGCCCACCAAAAGTCCCATTCTGCAAACGGTGCTGCACCAGTTAAGTAGTCCTCAAGTTACGACCGGTTGAGTAGCCCTCGACTTACGACCGGTTGGGGGTCGCGGCATTAAAAAGGTTGAGAACCACTGATATAGAACTTCGTGGAAAAAATATTTCAGAGCTGATGTACTTAATTAAGTCCACTTCCAGTGACCACGATTCAGGAAAGATGCTGAAACCCTAGAACAGTGGTTCTCAACCTTCCTAATGCCGCAACCCTTTAATACAGTTCCTCATGTTGTGGTGACCCCCAAACCTCCATCCAGCTGGCGGGGGATGGGGGGAGTATCAAAAACTTGACCGAAAAAAAAAGGAAAAAATGGGAAAGTATAGGTAGTCCTCGACTTACAACAAGGAGGAGAGGGAGGGAAGGAGGGTCAAAAAGGGAGGTGAAGGAAAGGAAGGAAGGAAGGAAGGGACAATGGGAGAGGGAGGGAAGGAGGAAGAAACCAAGAGGGAGGGAAGGAAAGGAAGTTCCAGCCAGGAGAGGCTTGCCAGCCCGGCTGCCGAGAAACAGAAGAGCGCAAAGCCAAGGAGAAGAAGGTGGTGGTTTCCTCCCAAAGGGGGCTCATTTTCTCTACCCATTCCCTGGATTTGTGGGGAGTTTCTTGTCACCAACGCTGACAGGTGCTGCTTCGAGCCCGTTGCAAGCTTTCTCGCCCCCTTTGCTTCTCCAGCATGATGAATGTAGAATCCACTGGTGGGTAATTTCAGCCTTCCTGCTCAGATGAGACTAAATCAGAACTTTAGCCACGCCTCCCTCTGGGTGTGTCTTCCCAGTTTTTGACTTAGTCTCAGCTCAGTAGGGTGCAAATCTTTTGGGCTCCTTAGTTAGACTAGGTTAATTAATTATCTAATTGAATTTAATTCATTCTGCAGTCTTTAAATTGTAGTGTTTTTTCCTTATTTCAATTTGGACTCATAATGGCTAAATTTGGCATAGGAATTTTAAGCAGACCTCTTGGCTTCAAGCTTAACAGGCTCCTGTGGAAAAGGCTGCAGGCTGATTTCAGGTGGGGCTTTTAGTCCTGATCGAGCGGATTAGTGGGAGCGCGGACCAGCCGACCAGCTGGCTTGCGGCGAATGGAGGCTTTTCGGAGCTCCGGCAGATCGGAGGCTTCCCTTTTCTACCTTTGTTGAGGCCACGAGGCTTCTTTTGGCAGCAGAGAATTCGGATCTCAGCGGAGGCTGCGCAACCAACAGCAAGTGCCTTTTACGAATGGAGGTGGGAAGAGTGCCTTACTTGGCTTGGCTGATTCTTAAAGCTTCTACCTGGCGAGGGGCTTGATTACCTTCTATTCCCCATTTTTGGCGTGGTCGCCATTCTTTTGGAGGCACTTAACGGGCGCAGCCGCCATTTTGACCGCGTGCTCAGGACGCGGCCGCCATTTTGAGTGTGTTATTAGGCGCGGCCACCATTTTGAGAGTGTTATTAGGCACGGACGCCATTTTGAGAGTGTCATTAGGCACGGACGCCATTTTGTAGGGACCTCATGTTCCTGTCAAAGATTGAGGCCTGCCTTTATTGCCTTGGCCTGCATTGTCAGCTCTTTACCGGGGAGAAGTTTTTCCGTGTGTTATCAGGAGAATCGCATGGTTGATTACTATACTGTATTGGTGTTATTGTTCTAACTACTCATTGAAGTTCAGTCACATATCCTCAATTTCTTGTGTGAGTTGAGCAAAGGGGAATTTATTTTAGATCCACCTGTTCCAATTAGTGTGTGACACTGTGTCACAGGCCTAGACAGGCAGTTCTAGGGAGCTGTCTGGCTGTCTTTTGCCATTGCTGTTGTGCAGAGCGAGGATCGTTTTCCATCTCTGTCAACTAGATCTGCGTGTTTGGGTTCCCCCCACTTCTGGATATCTCCTACCCGGATTTTCTGGATTACAATGGCAGACAGTTCCTCGCCCCAGGCATCACAGGGCTCTGGTATTCCCCCCGCACAAACAAAACGTAGATCAACTGATTTGGGCGCGGGGGGAAAGAAAAAAGCCAAGACAAAACACATCTCCACCAAAGAGCCCTCCAAGGCAGCCGAGCGAGAGGCCTCGAGGAGACATCTGGCACTGGAGAGGGAATTCTCCAAAGCCCAAAGGCTCATGTCCAGTGAAGCTGAAGTGGTTCCCCCCATTCCATTGGACACTTCTCCATTTGAGCCTCCATTTGCACCTTCTCATGATGCCCCTAGGGCATGGTCTCCTCGGGGAAACCAAACAGGTTGGTCCCCCTCACTCCTCATCTTCATCTACTCATCAGGGTCCTGAAGCCACGTTTATCCCAACTGAGGCTGGGATTAGTTCTATGGAACAAAGGGATATGTGGTCAGAACAGTTTCAGTCTTTCATGCACCATGCGTTTATGCAATTCATGTCTTCCTCTAGGAGTCAAAGACCTTTGCAACCACCACCCCTCCGTCTATACCTCTTTCTCAAGCGGGACTTGCCACAGTCCCTGGTTCAAGCATCTCTGAGACTTCCTCCCAGCTAGGGGAAGAGGGGTCAGTGGACCTGGAGATAGCCGACATGCCCATGTCAGAGGATGAGGAGGCAGCGCCTGAACAGGCGCCAACTTCGGGGTTTTTTGACCCTTCTCTTTTCAGGTCTCTACTGATGAAGGCCTGTACCACCGCCAACCTCACTTCGGTAGAGGAAGAGAAACCTTCCACCTCCACCAGCCAGGAGTCTAACCCCTTGTTCGCAGAACAGGTTGTGGAGGACAAGCAGATTCCTTGTCCACAGGTTTTCCGTACTACAGTGGAGAAATCCCTGGTTACTCTACCTTCTCCTAATAGTACAGAGAAGAAACTGTTCAAAGTTTCTTCTTCATTTGCTTCCCTCTTGGAGGTGCCTTCTGTAGACACTCCACTGACTTCCTTGTTTTCCACATCTGCTATTCCAGGGGATATGGCTGAAGCTCTGAAGGCGGAGGACAAGAAATTTGAGTTGTCTCTTCGCCGAGCTCACCAGGCTTCGGCATGGGCGATCAAGGCTGTGACTTCATCCTCTTTCTTCGCAAGGGCATCAAACGTGGCTCCGTGAACTGCAGGCAGTCGTTCCCCCGGATCAGGTTCGGACACATCAGACACTAGGGAAGCTAGTGGCTGCTTCTGAGTACATAACAGATGCTTCTCTTCATTCGACCAGGTACTCCGCTAGATCTATTGCAGCCACGGTTGCCTCTTGTAGGCTACTGTGGCTGAAACAGTGGAGAACTGACTTGAAGTCCAAGTGGCGTTTGTCAACAGCCAAGTACAGCGGTACACAATTATTCGGGTCAGTCCTCGAACCACACATTATTGAGGGCAAGGATAAATGCAAGATCCTGGCACATCCCTCCAAACGGTCGGATAGGCGGTCCCAACAGGAGTTTCCTAGGCAGGCTTTCCGTCCCAGTGGTTCCTGGGAGTGGAGGCAGCCTTTTTGGACTGGGCAGTCCTGGGATTGGTCAAGAGGCTCACGATCCTTTCCCCCCAGGCAGGATCGTCCACAGGACCGCCAGAGCATTGGATCCAAGGGCCAATTCCAATCCAAACGTCCCTTCTGGGGCTCGGGGGGCCGTCCCTACAGGCAGTCCAAGTGATGCCAAGGGGAACTCTCCCATTGGGGGTCGCTTGGCTCTGTTCAGCGACATTTGGGAGGCTACCACCACTGACTCTTGGGTCAGAGAGACCATCAAATACGGTATCACTCTAGAGTTTTACTCTCTTCCCCCCGACCATTTCATACAGTGCCCGATGTCACGAAATGCAACCAAGGCACAATTAGTAGCCACGGCCATCTCCCATTTGACAGAAATCAAGGCCATAGAACCTGTACCACAGGAACAGGAAGGAGAGGGGTTTTACTCCATTCTGTTCATGGTCCCCATGGAGGGCGATACTGGACTTAAAGGGTCTGAACTACTTCTTGACCTATAGAAAGTTCAAGATGGAGACCCTAAAGTCCATTCTCGCCAGCATCAGGAAAGGGGACTTCCTCTCCTCCATAGATCTGACAGAGGCGTACTTACACATCCCGATACTTCCAGAACACCGCAGGTTCCTTCGGTTTTGTTACGCGCACCGGCATTACCAATACAGAGCCCTTCCCTTTGGTCTATCTTCAGCTCCAAGGATTTTCACAAAGATTTTGGCAGTCTTGGCAGCTTACCTCAGGATGATGCTGGTGTGCGTGCAATGCTATCTAGACGACATCCTAGTTCAGTCCAGTTCTTTCTGGTTGGCTCAGTCAGACCTGGAAATCACGATACATACTCTTCAGGTTCACGGGTTCTCCGTAAACTTCAAAAAGAGCCACACGATCCCCACAAAGCGCCTCCTTCATCTAGGGGTGATCATAGATTCAGACCTTTGCAAGGTCTATCTTTCACAGGAGCGTCGGGTCAGCATCCGAAAGCTGGTACACCAGGTTCGGAGAGAGAAAATAGTGCCTCTGATACAGCTGTCTCAACTCTTGGGAAAGATGGTTTCTTGCATGGGGATCGTTCCGTGGGCCAGACTTCACTCAAGAAGCCTTCAGTGGTTCCTCCTTCCCTGTCAGAAACGGAACCTCAGTTCATCCAACAGAAGGGTCAGGGTCCCTTACCACACTCTGTTATTCCTCCTATGGTGGGCTTCATCCGCAATGACCAAGGGGACCATTTT